TATATGAGAGTGTGTATGTAGTCAAGATGGGATTTGTTCCTCTTATGTGTTGAGAGTTAGACATCTAAGGCACCTTATTTAAAAGTTGGATGTGAAATGAAAATGATCACATTCTATGTCTCATATCCAACATGATGCTTGTACCGATCACTAGCTAATAAAAGACCTGGGATTCATTGTTGATTCAGCAGCAATAAGCAAATAGGTAAGATCAATGAGGGTCATGTCGTGGTCCATCATACAGTAATATTTAATGAACTCACTATATGATTCAGGAAGTGATTGAACCAAGTCAAAAGCCAACTTCTTGGAGACATCAACACCCAACATTCCCAATCTATCAATATGAAACTTTAAATCCAAGACATGAGCACATACATACTTTCTATCTTCGTGTTTGCTTGCCAATAAGGCTTGAGTGACCTTGAACTTTTCAAGTCTTCGAACATGTGGGTCTGGGAGAGCTATTAGAGGAGGTGGAGGAAGTGAAGCATGATTTTCGTTTCCACGATCTAATCGTGGAAAATCATCTTCATGTGGAAAGCTTCTTCCATAGGATTCAGGAACACCATAGTTGTTAGAATTTGACATCTACAAAATGGTAGAAATACAAGTTACTTGATTTAGTCCTTAATATAACACCCAAATGAAATATCAAGGCTAGGACCTAACACAATATTCTACGATTCAGAAGATGGATGTCGTAATCCAATTTAAGAATATCTTAAGGTAGGTAAATGACGATTTACCAATTTCCATCATGAAAAACAAAAAAGAAAATTAGGTTTTAAATGACTTGAAATACCTAGATCTTTTGAGATTCATTGAGCTTTTCAATGACATGTTTAATCTCGATTATCTCCTTCAAGTTTGTGACTAGGAGACCGAGGATCACAAACAATGTGTGAATAACCATGCAAATTAGCTTGGTACTCTCGAAGATGTTTATCCCCTAATCAATGTGCCGGTTAACTACACATGCTCCATTTATCTATGATAATATACAAGCTACCCATTGCCATCTTTTATTTGTCCCATATTAGTGTTTCGGTTAATCACACATGCTCCACTAATGACCAACAAGGTGTAATGTGCAATTTCATGGATTAGCACCAACTTCATATTTTTCCTAAAGTAACCAAGATTTGGGAATTTATAAAAGTGTTTAGTTACTTCGTATTTCATTATACTTATAATGGAAGCTTGTGTCCTATCCTACCCATTCGGCTAACGACCCTCCACTAGTAAAGGGTGTGGTGGGTGATAGTGGACACTCATTCAATCGTCATTTTATAGGCAATTTCCTTAAACACCTCTTATAGACGAGCTTCGTGAATGAGACCTACTAACTGTAAGACTGACTTTTTACTTATACATATATATAATATATTAGACCTTTATTTGTATATAGTATAAGGGTGTATTTTATACATTTATAATACTAAGTGGTTTAATCTATTAATAAATTAGACTTTTAATTTGATTAAACTTAAACCATATAATTATGGATTTATTAAATAAACACTTAATTAGTTTAATAAAACCATAAGGGTATAATTTGACCTATTCAAAATACTAGGGTTTTAGAATTTAATATTTCAAAATTAAGACATTTTAATCAAATTTTAAATTCCAAAACTTGAGGACAAATTTTGAAACTTTTCAAAATACTAGGGTTTAACTATTTAAATTTCAAAAACTAAAACTTCTAAATTGAAATTTAAGCTATAAAACCTAAAAGTGTAATTTAAAACTTTTTCAAAATTACTATGTTAAATATTTGAATCAAATAATCTTGTATTATCCATATTTAACCAAATCCACCAATTTTGATAAGGATATCCATACAAATCATAAAAAATCGAATTTAGGCAAGCAAAATGAGTTTTGGTTGTTATCCTAATAAAAAATTTTGCGAAAAAATCAAAAATCCCGGCAACAGAGCCATGGACTCATCGAGTCAGCCTGTCAGACAGCAAAATCGTCGACTTTTTAATCCTTTGACAGTTCACTTTTGCATATATTCAATAGAAAAACGACCTAGGCTTTGATACCAATGTTTGTATTTGAGCATAACATCATTCCTATGGTGTACATGCAACCCTAATTACTTTGGATCTAGGTTTTTCTAATTTGAACATACAATTATGAATACCAAAGCAATAACCCTATGACTAGCATATATATATATATATATATATATATATATATATATATATATATATATATATTGAAAATCACATATGATTAGGGTTAGAAACTTTACCTCACTTGTTATATTGTAATAACAAGAATTGCTTGACATTTGATAGCTTAGTGCCTCAAGTATTGCACCTCTAATGGAGTCACAAACACTCAATGCAACAAATAAATTTTTTTAGAGTAAATTACACGAACGGTCCTTATGGTTTAAGGTAATTTGCGCACTTGGTCCCTATCTTCTTTTTTTTAACTCGGAAGGTCCCTACTGTTTGTTTTTATTACATGCTTGGTCCCTACTGTTTATTTTTGTTACACATTTGGTCACTGTCTTACCTAAAAAAGTATTTTTTTTAAATAGGAAAAAATAGTGGGGTAGGTAAGGTAAGGTGAAAGGGGTGGGGTTGGGGGTGTGTTTATTTAAATAAATTAAAAAATCAAGGGAAAATAGTCTTTTTAGATATTCCAAAGACTAAGCGCGTAACAAAAACAAACAGTAGGTACCTTCCGAGTTAAAAAAATATGTTAGGGACCAAACATGCAAATTATCCTAAACCATAGGGACCATTTGTGTAATTTACTCAAATTTTTATAGTAAAGATGAAGCTTAAAAGCATAATAAAAATTTTGGGATCAATTTCATATTTCATCACAATACTCAACGTGCTTATAATAAAAATTTAGATCTTACAGTCTTAGGGGGTGTTTGGTTTAGCTTTTGAATGCCCAAAAGTCCTTTTAGAAAAAGATAATAGCCAAAAGATGTTTGGTAAAATACTTCCAAAAGCTACTTTTGAATTTTGCAAAAAAGAAAAATCAACTTTTTGGAAAAGTCAGGAAAATCTAACTTTTTGTAACTTTTCTAAAAATATCTTTTGACCTCTAAAAAGCTAAGCCCAACACCCCCTTAGTAAGGAAAATCCCAATGCTAGCCATGGCAAAGAAAGTTAGAAAAATAACAAGGAATCTAAAAGGGTTTTGCATAAAGAAGTGGATGAAGTAACAAAGGAGTATGAAGAAAATACTTATAGGGATGAACACTTATAGGGCAGAAAAAGCGGTTGTTAGGCATTATACGCCTCTTACAGAAAAGTTAACTAAAAATACGGTTATAGGGATAATCATGAGGGCTAAAAACCGTCAGGACGTAATGTTAAAATTTAATTCAGGAGTTTTGTTCCTATCCGATTACAACCGCTACTACATCGATGTTATGAAAGTTTGAATTGTCATTTCCATGAGCAAATGAAAATACAATTTGGGAGGACTTAATAGGGTATAGCATAGCCTAATTAGCATTTGTGCCGAACCAGACATATATACCGGACTAGTATATATATATATATATATATATATATATATATATATATATATATATATATATATATATATATATATATATATATATATATATATATATATATATATCGAACCAACAACATACCGAATTAAATATGTCTCGAGGCACAGAAAGTAACAATTAAAGTATAATACAACATCACAATAGTAACATAATACATAAGAACTCTAAGTATACAGCCTGTACAAGGATGTGTGACTGATAGGTCCTGGGGCCAACAAAGAACACTTGGCTAACGGATAACAAGTACGGTAATATGTACCTATGGGCATACAATTATAAATATGACAAGATGTTAAGCATGCTCAATACATGAAGATGTCGACAACCCTTTTCATCTCCGTTGTAAATAGGTAATTTGATTCACCTCCACTAGGAACGAAAACATCATTCATCCATTCCAAATCGATTTGATTACTGTTATTTATTTACCATTCGGACTCTTTACTGACTTTATCATCGGAGCGTTGGCCCAAGATATCATCACAGTCGATTGGCTTACGAGTTGTTTGTATTCTCTAGGTCAGTTGAAATACTTGAGCGAACACATCTAAAGTAATCAATGGAAGGCGGACCCGATGGTGCCTCAAATATCATCAACAATGAAAACCACAATAAAGTAAACTCAAATGGATAATCAAGCAAAAAGAATAGTTTAAGAGATCCATTACTTTTGTGATACCACATAGACAACAAATGTAATTTAGCCTAAGTTTTATGATAATATAATATTTTAGTTTAAATAAACAAAAGATTGACTAAATATTTTCCTAAAAAGCTATAGTTTATTAAATACATAAACAAAGATCAAAGATAAGGGGTAGAGTAGGTAGGATATCAATGATGTCCAAAGGGCAAACTTCGATCTAAAGCTTGTTGTCGCCCCCACAATGATACAAACCATCAACACCGCCAACAGTTCGCCAGAGAAATCCCACGTCAAGCCTCGAAAAAATATGACCGTCAAAAGAACAGAAAATCCAAGAACATTATTCATGAACACGCCATGGTATAACTGCATGTCATCAACCATGAAAATACAGTTAATCATTAAAAACATCTCAATAATGTTAACTATTGTTATGAGTTTTATATTAGTAACAATAAACACATAAAACCTTTACGTGCATTCATATTTTTTTTTTTTCAAAAAAAATAGTGTAGATAATGAGAGGCTTCCCACATCGGCTAGACACTTCCCATCAACCTCAAAAATACATATGCGTAACTTATTCTTTTTATCAAAGGTCTTTTGGAGAAAAAATCTAGAAACTTATATACGTAACTAACATGACATTAGAGTCGACGTTTGACAATATTTGGCACCTCAGGGACACAATTACATATTCGTTCTCATCGAGCCTATGTCTTTACGAATTTCTTACCTCATATATATGTTCAAGTCTACCTCTTTGCTTAAAACCTTTCTTTGAAAAAAAATCTAGGACTTCACATATAATCGAAGTGAAAGAATTGAATGAGATGTGACGTATACCTCCGAGAAAGTCAAGGACGTGGTCCGTTCATTCCTTTGGCTTGCAGTTTTGATCGCCGAAATTGCTGCTCTAGCATTTGTGGCCAGTGGAACAAAGATAAAAGAGACAAAGAACGACGGTATGTTTGCAGAAGAGGAGACGTTCTGAACACTATGTATCAAAGGTTCAGCCAAAAGTGCTAACATGGCAATCCCAAGAAACAATAAAGTTGTGGCCTTTATCCACGCCCAAATCGATCTATCTACACCATCATCCATCCATCGTTCCCATGGTTTCTGTGTACATTTCACTTAACGTTTTCAATAAAACCTACTATATGTATATGAACTTGATATGAATAAAAGTTGCACTTGTTGTATCTAATATCTTAATAAGCACCAAGCATACATATATTTAATCAGGTTCAATTTGTTAGGTTTTGCTGAATATTAAGTAAATGAACACGACTGCATAATTTTTGACGTTTTTATATAGTAGAGATGCCTAATCGAACGTTGTGAGGTTTTAGTTGATTCATACGCATTTTCCATTAATTTTGGAACAAGACAATGATGTTAAAATTTCAAGCTTACCAGGGATAGATCGCTTTGAGCCTCAGACAACATGGGAACTTCGGTTTGTTCATTAGATGTATGGAGCCATTGTTTAAATCTATCTATGAACTCTTTTTCACCTATTCCTTGATCTCTTCTTTTGTCAAAATCTTGCATTATGTGATCGGTTGCTTCATCGACATTCCATGGCATCTTTGCCGAATGAACTTCCATGATTAATCTCTTCAATTCGGAGTGCGATACACAATTATCTTTATCAACATCCATGCTTTTAAACAACCTGAAATCCCCCACAAAACCACCATTGATATAACTGCACTACTCCAAAATAGAAACTAGGAACCCCACAGAAAACACAGTTCTAAAAGATTTATATATATCTTTAAATAATGCGGGCGAATATCCTAAAATCCAAAAATTGTTTCTCACCCTTTTATTGCGTATATATTTGGTGTTCCATCTTCGTTGTAGAAGTTTCCTAATGGGATGCTTTGTACATGTCGAATAATCTCAGATACCAGGATCTTCATCGATTCTTGTTCTTTCTGCTTAGTCTGAACCCATGGTTGAACAATCTATAAATAGATGTATTCAGATCATTAGTTAATTACAACACTTTATATACCGAAGATATTTCATTAAAATAAAAAATCACTAGTTTAGTTGTTAATTTAAATACTTGATATAAGTCCTTCCACGACCTAATTGAGCGATAAGGCCGATCATCCACTGCGCCCTTTGTCTCATCGAGCCATTTGGTAAATCTATCGACAAATTCTTCCATGGATACTTTACTATCGGAATCTTTATCGAATTCTTTCATGATTTCTTCCATTCTTGTCTCCTTGTTCCATGTTAATTGCCTGAACTTAATATCCTGGAGAAGTTCTTTGAGTTCTGAAAACGATATGTAGCTATCACCATCTTGGTCAATCTTCGTAAAGAAACTGCATAGTAACAACCATGCATGGTTTTCAAACTCGAAACAAGAAATTGAACGAGCGTGAATATGAAACACAAGAAGAAACGAACCTTTTTATCGCAGGTAAGTTCGCTGAACCATCTACAGTAAGTAATTTTTCTGCGGTGTGTTCCTGAAGATGTTTTAATATGTCTACAACTAAATTCTCGTGTTTCACGTACGATAGTCTTCTTTTTTGGATCGAAGGCTCGAGCACCTACGTTGAGAAGACTATTAAAAAAAACAATTTTCAAACAACTGTACATATACAGAACTACTGAATACCTGATAAATAAAGTATACGAGCAAGAACATGATTGAAACAGGAAGAGCGATCACGATGTATCCCTGAGATGGCTTTAGACCAAATAGTTCGGGGATCAAGAGAAACGTAAATGGAAGAACTGAAAGAACCATAATCCTGGCTGCTGAACTTGTCTCTTGATCTGTAGTTACACCAGAATCTGTGAACAAGTTAACCAACACATAACGTCATATATACTAGATAAATATTGATTAGGAACAAATTATGCAACAGTTAGTGAAGAAGATATATGGGAGCTGGGGATCCTAATTAACCTTTCAGAATCAAAAGTAGCTTTTTATATCGATTTGCGTTAGGAGTCAGCGAAGAACTGGAACCAGATTCTGAGGAAAATTTTCGACTGCCAATGATGACACAAGTTCCCCACAGTAACGTGAGGAGGAGAATAGTTGATCCGGCTAGCAAGCCAACTCCAGTTAAGACATACTTTTGAGCTTCATCTTTATTGTTCCAAAGTCCTGATACTGAAGATATTGAAAACAAAAAGTATAAATACACAAACCGAAAGAAGGTTGAGACGCACATATAGAACGATGTTTTTAGAAAAGTGTTTGTTTGGGTAAATGGTGTTTATATGTATACCATGAAATGTGTCCCATGCATTTCGCGAACTTTCTATGCATGCAGTAATTAAAAAGAAGCAGTCATATATATAAAACTTATGAGATTGAATGTCTACAATTAAAATGGATTGAGGGTTCAAAAGTTGATATGAGATGAAATGATCTCAAACCTAGAAGTATCAATGATTCGGGAAGGAAGCCAAGGACATGGAAAGCACTTGCACCAAAGATACCAGGACCAAGAATCTTGAAAATCCGTTTTCCCCCAGAAGCAACATACGATTCTCCATGATATAACAAGTACTCATAAACCACAATAAGGAAAAGATGACCTAGCAGAGTTTCTGAACATGGCAAAAAACCGTACATTTGCTCACAACGCTCTTCATGAGAATCAACTCCATTGAGATGCAATAAAGATGTTCTCTTCTCTGGAGTTGGATCATGATCAGTTTTATCTGAAAGCAACTCAGAACCATTGTAATGTAACAATCGGCCTGTAACCTTTAATGTGAATGTGGTAAGAAGAAATGAAGTTCTGTATGCGATTTTTGCAAACATTACCATCTTAATTAATTAATGATGGTTATTTGTTGGTCTCGTTTACTTATTTTGTTTAGATTATATAAAGAAAGTAATTGATGAATGAAAGATTCAACAATATCTAAAAAGATATGAGAAAGACTTGTACATCAGGCCAACTGGATTTTTTTTAGCATGTTTTATGAATTTTAAACGAGTCATCATAGGATTTTGAGGGTTTTCCGTCTTTATCCAAGATATTTTATTCTTTTCTTTCTATTTATTAAGGAAATCTTGTGTTCGTTTTCAATTATTTGATTATGCGATAAGCATCATGGCTTGATGCGATTAATTAATCTTTTAATTTGATTGTACTTGTTACATATAACATTTATGGAAGGTTGTGCTAAATACTCAAGAACAACTTCTTACCTTGACCGCGATGGCATCCAGCCATTCCCGTAACAGAAGAGAATAAAACTGATTAGTCAAAATTAACAGCATGTTGCTGGAATTATCAATATCACGCGATGCTATATATTCTTTTAATTTAATAAATCAAATGGTATAGTTGTCATCTGTGAAGATGATGGATATAAAAATTACTTCTTTTAGCATATTGCCATCTTCGCCGTTATTGAGTGCTTTGCAAGTTCTAGTAAACCCAGTGGCTTGTTTTCTACGTACAATCCAATGGTTGTACACACTCATACGGTATTACTATAAATGAATAGCTAGAAACTCATTACTTGTTCGTAGACGTTTGGTTTCTTGGAATTGGAATTCAAGCTTTCTTTCTATTACATGGCTGATTGGGAAAAACTAAAAAGAAAGGAATTAGTTCCAATGCAATATATTGAAAAACATATATTATTAAAAATAGTTTTCTTTTAGTCAAGGTTGTAAATAAAATAAGACATGATTTGATGAAAATGTCAAACATTAAGATTTTCTAAGTTTGGGTTTGCAAGATTGAGATCGTAGGATCGAAATTGAGATCCTAAGATCCAACAAAATAAATCATAATTTTAATTTGGGAAAATGATTTAAAAGTCCAACGAAGTTTCCAAACCATTCAAAAAACCTCAATCATGTTTTGTCTGTTCAAAAAAATCCAACGAACTTAACCTTTTGTCTAAAAAGTCCAACAAAGTTTCAAACCGTTCAGAAAAATCCAAATTTGTTTTGTTTAAGTTCGTTGGGTTTTTTTTTTTGAACAGTCAAAACATGATTGGAGTTTTTTAAACGTTTTGGAAACTTCGTTGGTCTAACAAGTCATTTTTCCGATACGGTAATAAGCTACGTCATCTGTTTCTCTTATTTGACTTTCAAGAAAGTGTAACTTAGTTGAGATTTTTAGATAAAATGTTAAGTTTGTTGGGTTTTTTTGAACAAACAAAACATGTTTGGAGTTTTTTAAACGGTTTGGAAACTTCGTTGGGCTTTTAAGTCATTTTCCCTTTTAATTTATAATTTTAAAACATGAAAAATATTTTAAATATTCGATTTTTCGTTCAAAAGTTAAACAAACTTCCAAATATTAGTTATAAGTCACAACACAAAATGGTAAACAGTAAATTTGTAAAGGGTAAAAGATATAAAATGTTAAAGAAATTTTATCTGCAAAAAAAAAAAAAAGGAAAAGTAGGATCGGATCGGATCGGATCCCAATCTTACGATTCTAGCTATGAACTTACGATCTTACCAGCGATCCTACCTCAAATACGATCCATTTAGGATCCGACTCGCTTTTCATACCTAAGATCGTAAGATTGTACGATCCTACGATCAGGATCGCGATTTTGACAACCATGCATGTATGAGTTAAGAAGATGCTTTAATAAAGCTTAGCTACATGTACAAACCTTAAAGCAAAGATAGTCATGATGGAATCATGACGAACTTTTTAGAACCTTGCTTTTAATAGTAACTTTAAAATGCTAAATATTTATAATATTTATATATGAGATCACAACATCTCAAATTCCTAATAACTTCAATTGTGGGTTACCATCAAGATTCTAAAAAGTTCGTCATGGCTTCGCCATGGCTCCAAAACTTGTGTCTACCGCCAAACTTTACTAAAATGCCGCATTAACCCATATATGTGTATAAAATAGATTAATAGTTAATACAAATAAAAATATTAAATATATACAAAATTGTCGCCTTAAGTCACGCCTTACAAAGGACATCGCTCGCTAAAGCTCGGAAAAGTTTGAGGCTTGACATTGCCGCCAAGTCACACCTTACGTTATCTAAAACCTTGGTTATCATGGATATGAAAAACAATTTTTATTTATTTATACTTAACCGTTCTAAAAAATATAGATATACTAATTTTAATTAGTATTATGTTTAACAGACATCTTTGAGGATGACATCTCATTGGTATTAATTAATATTTAAGTTGCATTTGAATGAAATTAAATGTATTTTTTTAAATTTAATATTACTTTTAGTTATTTATATGGTTAATTAATTTAAAAATAATTAAATTATAATTTTTCAAATTTTGATCATACGGTTAATATTTAAAATATCAATTATTTTTTCAAGTTAACATAATATATTTTTCAAATCTTATGATATTTTTAATTTATTTTATTATAACTATTATTTTCTATTAATAAAAAACTACTACTTGTTTGGAAAAAAATTAAATCAATATTATGTAAGCTAGTTTTGGATCAATTTTTTGTTAATTTGAGGTTTTACAGCAAATAAACAACAAAAATAATCAATGGTTTTATCTCAAAATTGTAGAACAACCGATTCCATAAAAATAAAAAATTAGACAAAAGAAGTAAGACTCATCACTCATTAGTTTATTTTAGACAAACATTAACATAATTCTGCAATCACTCCAATAACAGTGTGTAAAAACTAAAAACTAAAATCGATTTTCATAATGAACTAGAATATGTAACAACTAACAAACTAACAATCACCAATGCATATAATAGATTGTGAAAAGTAAAAACTAAAATTGAAATTAGTTGTTTCGTAAGACCTAATCACCAGGGACGCATCTTTCTTAGGGCCAGGAGGGGTCTTGCCCCCCCCCCCCCCTTTTCTGAATTTTAGGTTAAAAGTAGTCCAACTATGTATCATTTTTTGAGATATAGGCCCTGTTGTATGGAAAATGGGCTTTGGCCCCTCTTGCCCAAATCGGAATGATGTGAACTCGTGAAGGACTTACGACGAATTGAAGTATCGAACCCCAAATCCCAATCCTCATCTTCCGTCAATCCGTTGAATACTTGAATATGTTCTTCATTAGTTCATTGGTCGCTGTTCTAGTTGTCAGACGCCTCAGTGCCTCACGCCCACTCTGCCTCCGGCAGCCTCCACAGACCACAGCAGACGTAATAGCCGGCCGCAACTAACAGAAAAATCAGGAAGAAAAAATCTTTAGTCTCCATTTGTAAATTTCTGTTCTTCCTTCTGTAAGTTCTGTTCTTCCTTTGTGACTTTGTGTTATTGTGTAATTTGGAAGAAAAATCAAAAAGTCAAGAAATTAGAATCTCAAACAATGTTATGTTTTCCTTCGTGTAATCTTGTTCACTGTTCAGTCTCCATTTGTAAATTTGCTTAATTGCTTGTTTTGGTCTTGTGGGAATTTCATAGTTAAGTGTTCACATAGTCGAATGATTTCACACACTTTGTTCCTCCAATTGCTTCTTGTTTGTCCAATAGTCCAAATGACCTAAGATTGTTGATTTGTTCCTCCAATTGCTTGTTGTTTGTCTTAAATGAGCTGAGATTGTTAATTAATTTGAATTTCTCCTCTATTTTATTGTTGTTGGAATTTAGAATCAAGAAATTAGAATCTTAAACAGTGTTATATGTTTTCTTTTGCAAAAACTAAAGTTAATTGGTAGATTTTGAATGAATTGTTCATACATTTTGCTTTTTTTTTTATAGATACAATGGGCAAGATGAAAACCATTCATTCCTTTTTCAAAAGAATGGGTGATGATGAAGAAACACTTAATGAAAATCATGAGAGTAAACGTCAAAAAGCTTCAACAAGTGAGCCACAACCACAACAACATAGAAATCAACAAGAGAATGACATTTCTGAAGCCACACAATCAAATCCTAATGAGGTGGATCTTAAGAAACTAGAAAGAGATCCTGCTACATGAAAACAAATGTGGGACTATCCGGTTAATTTAAGAGAAGAAGTAAGATGAGCTTATATGACTTTAGGACCTTTCCAAATACGTCTTAAAGAGTATCATGCTAAAGGATCAAAGAAACATCCTCGTAGATTCCAATACTTTTGGTTCAACATTTTCCCTAATTGGTTAGAATATTCTCCAACAACACACTCAGCTTATTGTTTTATTTGTTATATATTTAATGATAAACCAAGTGTATGTCATGGTTATGATGCATTTACTGTTAAAGGATTTGACAATTGGAAAAAAGTTAATGACGGGAAAAATTGTGCATTCTTGAAATACATTAGTTGTTCACAACATAGAAATGCAGTTGCATTTGCTAAAAACTTGATGAGCCAAGAAGCACACATTGAAAATATTATAGGGAAGCAAAATGAGGCGCAAATATTGAAGAATCATTTACGATTAAAAGCTTCAATTGACACAGTTCGTTGGTTAACATTCCAAGCTTGTGCTTTACACGGAAATGATGAAAGTCCTAATTCCAAAAATTGTGGTAATTTTCTCCAACTACTAAAACTTCTAGCATATTATAATGATGAAGTTGCAAATGTTATAGTAGAGAAAGCTCCTTATAATTCAAAGTATACTTCTGGAGAAATTCAAAAAGAGATTCTTAGTATTATTGCAAATAAAGTTCGAAAACATATTCGTAGTGAAGTGGGGGATTCATACTTTTGTGTCATGGTTGATGAGTCACAGGATGAGTCTAAAAAAGAGCAAATGGCCATAGTTTTGAGATTTGTTGATGCAGAAGGGATCATTCGGGAAAGATTCTTGGATTTGGTTCATGTCAAGGATACGTTATCGCTAACCTTGAAAACAAATATGTGGAGACAACTTTTACACTATCAGTTTGACGTTAGTAAAATCTGTGGTCAAGGGTATGATGGTGCTAGTAATATAAGAGGGGAATGGAATGGATTACAAGCACTTGTTCGTAAGGATTGTCCTTATGCATATTATGTTCATTGCTTTGCTCATAGATTACAACTAGCACTGGTGGCTGCTTCAAGAGAAATTATTCGTGTACACCAATTTTTTTCAAACTTAATTTTTATAATTAATGTGGTTTGTGCTTCTAGTAAGCGTCATGATGAATTACAAAAAGCAAAGGCAACTGAGATTGAGCATTTATTGGAACTTGGTGAAATTGAATCGGGCAAAGGATTGAATCAAGTTGGGACATTAACAAGAGCTAGTGATATACATTCGGGTTCTCATCTTTGTTCTGTTTGTAGTTTGCTTAACATGTTTGATTGTACTTGTGTTGTGCTCCAAGGAATAATTGATGACACATCTGCTACTTATTCTCAACGCGGAGATGCTGATGCCGCTTATTGTTACTTGAAATCATTTGAGTTTGTGTTTATTCTTCACCTGATGAAGGAACTAATGGGAAAAACTGATATACTTTCTCAAGCTCTACAAAAGAAATCCCAGGATATTCTTAATGCCATGGAGTTAGTTTCACCAACAAATGAGGGTCTAAATGATTTTAGAAACAACGGGTGAGATTCTTTACTTGCACAGGTACAATTTTTTTGTGTGAAACATCAAATAAATATGTCGGATATGAATGCTCCATATACTTCTACTCGATATCGGCCTCGAAAAACAGATAATCATGTTACTTTTGATCATTTTTATCGAGTAGATTTGTTTACATCCACATTGGACAAACAATTACATGAGTTGAATAGTAGATTTAATGATCAGGCGATGAAGTTGTTACGTCTTAGTTCTACTTTAGTTTCAAAAGAATACCCTAAAGTGATTAACATTGATCAGATTTGTCTTCTTGTTGAGAAGTATTATCCTGAAGATTTTACGGAGCAAGAGAGAATTCAATTACGATATCAACTGGAGATTTTTAATATTGATACGGCAAAGAATCCTAGGCTAAGTGGTGTATCAACTATTGCTGACCTATGCAAGGGACTTGTGGAAACTCAGAAACGTGAGACGTATTATTTGCTTTATAGAGTGGTTCGGTTAATCTTGACACTTCCCGTTTCTACCGTAACAACAGAGAGAGGATTTTCTGCAATGAAAATATTCAAGAACCGCCTCCGCAATAAGATGTCGGATGACTTTCTCGCAAACAATTTGGTGGTTTACATAGAAAGGGAAATTGCTAAAAAACATTGATTCGAAGTCGGTAATTGATGATTTTAAAGATCTTAAAGGTCGTTGGACTGAATTGTAATTCTTTTTTAGGTATTTTTGATGTTTAATTGTTAAAAAAAATTGGGTTTTTTATATGTAAGAATGGTAACTTTAGGTATTTTGGTGTTTAAATGTTGAAAAATATTGATTTCTTTTTTTGTGTAAGAACGTTTATCTTAGATTTTTTTTACTTTCGGCCCCCCTAACTATATGTTCAAGCTCCGTCACTGCTAATCACAACAACAAGCAAAGAAAAGGAGCATTCCTAATTCCTAACTCATGAACAATTCAATAAATTCAAAATTAGAAATCAAATGTTTGAGATTTGTGAATTCTAATTCCCAAATCTACTATTTCAAAAAGAGATGAAACCAATGATTGATGGATTGTTATATGTGGAAACCTATTGTGGTGGTGAATGGCAAGACCAGGTGGTGTCCAGGTGAGTTGTAGGCATCCAACTCCAATAGGCAAGACTGAGGCAGCGACAATGAGGGTGAAACTGGGTAAGGTTTTGATACGATCAATTTTGACTTCTACTCTGACTTATTAGGAGGAGGGACAATTAGACTATTAGAGAAATCAGGAGGTGTCACAAGCTAATTTTGTCAAGAACATGCCTATAGTTAAATCTTTTGAATTTGTATGGCTATCTTTAACAAAAATTTCAGAGGGGTGGGGGGCACGACTTTTCCTGGCCCTATACAAGGTGTGCCTTGGTTTTCAAGCTAATGTATTATATATCTATTAGTTTTATATTTCTTAGAACTACTACTATTTATTACTATGAATTAAAAACCCACTTAATTTACCAACATTATTGTTATAAAAGTAGCTTTTGCTCAATATTTTTATCAAAAAAATAAAGAGTTAACATTAAAACTAAAATAATAATAGAATATAATTTATTAATGAAAAAAATTGAAATGTTCTATTGGTTGCAAATGAATATAGTTGTAAGCATTTAGGTTGAAAAGTTAAGAGTTACATCTCTATTAATCGAGCGATTGATTAAGTGGGATGACAAAAGGCGAAAAAAAATTGTTCACAATTTAGCAAGTGAGTCATATGTAAGTATGTATGTAGGATGTTTTTATCTATGTACCTTTTTCGCCATCACCTTCCTCGGAGGAATTATCCCAAGATTCAAAAAGGTTGTGTCATTGACAACAAATCACATATGTGGTGGAGTTTGATTTTAGGGTTGGTAGAAAGATGATATGGATGAGCGTTGGAACAACTGGAACCGGAACCGGACCGGAATCGGACCGGAACCAGTTATGATTTAATATAGCGGTTCTCTAGTTATAACAAAATCGGTCCCGGTTCTAAAACCGGTTAAAAAACCGGAACCGGTCCGGAAGTTTAAAAGACAAAAAGGGCCCATCATTAGTTTAAATTTTTTTCTTATTATCTTAAATCCTAACTAACAAAATCCTTTCCTAAATTACCTAAGGGGCCGATCATTATAGAATACAAATGTAAATCGGCGGCATTTAGTGAGAAAAAAAATCAATTCTTGCTTGGGCCAATCATAACAAAATCCATTCCTAAAATCAATTCTTGCTTGGGTAATCGACGATCATAGGTTCACTCATTCACAGATTCAAGTTCACGGAATTAACAATCAACTCACTCCTAATCTCAACTCTCGGTTCTTACTTGGGACTTGGGTAATAACGATCGGTTCAACAAATATCAATAATGGTGAAGCCAAGCTCAAGTAATTGGGTTAATACTGAATTGGATGAAACCCAAGTATTTGATTTGTTTTAAAAATTGGTTATATTTTAATTTCAAGGTTATATCCGGACGATTTGGTAATATTTTAATTTTAAGAATTAATTTCATTGTAGCGTTTTTTAAGCAATAGATAGAGTCCTTATAAACTGTGAAATTTTCAAATTAAGTTGGTTATCAATTGCATTTGAAGCAATGATAATTGCATATGACAACGTGTTGATTATGCAGTTTTAAAATGTGAGATGACTATTTATAACTTTTAGTCCATGAGTTCTATTTCATTTGCATCATGGTATTGAATAGATATACGAGTAAATAAGTAATGTGAAGAAGAGTACATGCGTTATTTTAATGTCACTTGATTATGTCATTATTGTGTTCCTAATTGGTTTGATGTGAATGATGCTTGGTTTGTTAGATGATATATCATATATTTTTGAACTCATTTTGATAGATGATATATAATATATTTTTCATTTGAACTCATTTTGCAATTATAGGATCATGAAGATGACTTTATTGATGATACACCTCCAGTAGTTAATAATATTAGTGATGGATCCGAAAAAGAAGATGTGCCAAAACCAAGTCTTAAGAAACGAAAAAGGAATGGAGGCGTGCCAAAACCAATTATTAGCAAACGAGAAAGAGCAAGGAATAATGGTAAAGGAACCGCTCCTTGTTGGGTAGCGTTTGAGCCGATGTGGATTATAGAGGATGATGGTGTTGAAGAAAAAGTGTGGAATGTATTCATTGTAAAAAAAATACTTAAAGCTGATACGGATCGAAACGGGACATCTAATATGAACAAACATCGGAGGAATTGCAAGTTAAACCCGGACAATAAAGAAAAGCATGATAAAAAGCAAGCCAAATTGAATTTTAAGAAGGAGTCAAATGGTGAGACTAGTGTACAAACATGGAAACATGATGACACTAGGATCAAACATGCATTACTAGGCTTTTTTACCATTTGTGAACTACCATTCAAGTATGTTGAAAATGAAGCATTTATTAAATATACTAACGCGCTTAATGGTAGGGAGATCTTGCCTTCTAGTTTAGACTTTTAAAATCATATTTTGGTTAAATATGAAATTAGATACAAGCCTTGAAAGACAATATATCAATGAAAAAAAATTCATTTATTTATATATGCAAGTTTAATTGGTTTATATTTTTGAATTTTGATAGAAAAATCGTATGAAAAGGATCTACAAAGAGTATTGAATCGTTTGGACTTCGAGGGGATAAAAGAGATGGTGGATTTTCTTGAAAAGTTTAACGTTTTGGCTTCAACAAAACCTTTAGTCCATCGATTAATCCGGGAAATCTTAGATGTGAACCTACATCTTAAAAAATGGTCAACCAAAGTCAACTTTGTTCATTTGATACCCAACATGAAGGACAAATATGACAAATATTCGGGCGACTATGCAAAGATGAGTGATTATGTTTACTTTGCAATATTGCTAGATCCTACAATGAAGTCTCAATTATTGTTGTATACTTTTAAAGAAATGATTGGTTCCAAGGATGAAAAGTTATCAAAGTCGGAGATAGAATTGAAAGCATATGAAATGCTTTATGAGGTCGAAAGGAAGATTGAGAAATTTTTTAAGACCTACTTGGAAAAATACGACATGAGCGGGTCTTCTAAACAACAAAGTTCTCAACAATCCGTTGATTGTGATGATGATAATGACTTTTTTGGCAACTTCCTTAATAGTGGAGGTGACAACTTGGATGCAGTGGAAAATGAATTAATTATATATATGAAAGAGCCCCAGGTTATGTACAACAAAAGTTTTCATATCCTAAGTTGGTGGAAACTTAATGGTTTAAGATTCCCGATAGTTGCTCGAATGGCAAAAGGTATTGATTTTTTTTTTTTAATATTTCATATTTCTTTTAATAATTAATGATGTTACATTTAACAATAACTTATTTTTTAACAGATATATTGGGGATACAAATCTCAACTGTAGCATCAGAGTCTGCCTTTAGCACAAGGCGTAGAGTTTTAACCGACTCTCGTGCTAACTTATCGAACGTGATAGTTGAAGCTTTGTTGTGTACCCAAGATTGTGTTAGAAAGAGTAGAAAACCTATAATAGATAACGTGGACAACATTTTAAATGACGATGAAGTAGCTATGAGTATTTTGTACTTTCAATTCTTGTCATATTTTTATACGAACTTTACATTTTAGTAAATGCTAACAACATTTTTGTTTTGTGTTTTATATAGAGATTGAGGAAGCTTTACGCAATGACAAATCAATGGGAAAGAGACCAATGGAGAAGTAGATGATAGCTAGAAGAATTGTTTTGGTTTAAACTTGATTGGTTGAATTGTATTAAATTTGATATGTGGGGATGAGTTTGTTTTTTGAACAGTACTATGTTTTTTTGAAACTTGATTATTGAATATTATGTTTTTTGAAACTTAATTATTGAGTATTATGTTTTTTTGGAAGCCAACTTAACAACTTGTAAGTATTATGAATTACATCTAAATTAGTTGCATCTAATTTTTAACCGAAAAGCTCCTTAGTTTCACCTAATTTTTAACCGGTTCTTGTTTGGAAAAATAACCAAAAACCGAGACCGGAACCGGTACTGGAACCGGCAGTCCGATTACTGATTCTTTTGTTATCGTAATACCGGTTCTGGTTCCGAACCGGTCCGGTTCCAATGGTGGGAGAGACGGTGATATAGTGGTTATTTGAAGGGGATGAAATCTTTAGGTTAAGCTAGTAGAGATAAAGATATTTTATAGGAGTTGATAAAATTCAGATAATGGTTAATTACCATATTAGTCATGTATTATATATTTTAACTAATTAAATTTATGAAACACTCCTCCCTAGGGTTATTTAAAAATGCCTTTTAAAATCAATTGATTTTAAACTAGAGGGGAATCATGCGCGCTGTTGGCGTTGTGTTTGTTTTTTTTCGAATTTCAAGTTATACCAAATGGTGGAACATACTATAATATTAATCAAAACATATTACATATATAGAAGGGGTCTTCATATGACAAACAAATAATTGAAAGTATGTTGCTATTTAGTGTATTTTACCCTAGAAAAGAACCCAAAAAGTTAAAATGTTTTGAGATGATTTACCATTTGTTGCAAGCCACGACCAGAAGAAACAATATCTATAGAACCTTCCATGCTAGGTGTAATCTGTGGAAAAACGATGCATAATCAAAATACTAGAACCGATCATCGAGATAAATTAAAATTAAGGATAAATTACACGGATGGTCCCTGTGGTTTGAGGTAACCTGCGCGCCTAGTCCCTGAGCAAGATTTTTAACTCGGATGATCCCTAATGGTAAAATTCATAACCCTCCTGGTCCCTCACTTAACATCCCGTCTAGTTGCTCCGTTAAAACACCCCACGTGCAAGGCACGTAGGGGTATTTTTGTCTTTTCATGTCACCCAGTCTTCTTTAAACATGGTTTATTTGTCTTCTTCCCCCATTTCTTTCTCAATCGCAGTCTTCTCCTCCCACCTTTCTTCTCACAGCCGATCAAACATGGTGAAATGCAATTGTGGTGCGATAGGCGTTATACGTACTTCAACTACGAAAAGAAACCCAGGTAGGGCATTTTATGCTTGCCCGTTAGAGGTACGATGCTGGAATTGTTTTGGGGGATTTTCTATTGTAACCCTAGTATGTGTATGTGCTAATCGAAGCTATTCACAGTACAGGGACCAAGGTCTGGCTTTATTAAGTGGGTAGATGAAGAAAAGCATGGTCATGAGGCGGAAATAAAAAATGAGGGGCTTGAAATCCAAATTCAAGAACTTGAGGTCCAAAATCGGAATCTGAAGGCATTGTTAATAATCAGTTGGTTTTTGTTTTTTGGGATAGTTGTTTACAAGTTGTAGTGTTAGTTTTAAGATCAACTGAAGTAGTTGCAGTTGTTTACAATGCCTTGTAATGAATCTTATTTGTATCAAGGGTACCCTTTTATCAATGAAAATGATATTTTGTTGAACTTGATTGTATTTTACAATTTGTGATGTATCTTGGGACATTGGTTAAACTACATTGCTAAAAGAAATCAAAAGATTACATTGACAAAAGCAGATGACCAAAATAAAAGCAAAACATATGACCAAAATAAAAGCAATGCCAAAAGCAGATGACCAAAATAAGCAAAACAGATACCAAAATAAAAGCAATCAAAAGATTACATTGTTTTTCAAAGGCAAAGTAAATTTCTAAAACTGGATACTATAATTACACCATTGTTTTTCAAAAGCAATCAACATAACCATCACAACACATAAATTAGTTCAAAAGAAGACAATGTTTGTCAACATCAACCAAAACAATACATAAGCACCTAAAAGCCACATTTATGGGACACCTTTCCCTTTTTTGCTAACACTTGCCCTCACTTTTGCACTTCCATCCTTCACTTTGCACTTCCAGCACCACTAACATTCCTTGAAGTTTGTGATCCACCAGCCTTCACTTTTTCACTTCCAACCTTCACTTTTTCACTACCAGCACCACCAACAATCTTTGAAGTTTGTGATCCACCAACATTCCTTGAAGTTTGAGAACCACCAGCCTTCTGTCCCTTGCAAGTCCTTGCATTATGCCCACTTTTGTTACACTTAGAACATGTCACTGATTTTTGTGCTCTTGACAATTGGTTACCTTTCACCAAATCCTCAACCTCCATGGCAGATCTCCTTCTCTTTTTCTTTGGTCTTCCAATGGGCACATGGTGTTTTGGAGGGAGTAAGGTTGTAGGGCATGTAGACTTCTCCCACATGTTCCTTCCATTGATTGGGTGAATTGTAAAAGAATACATATTCTTCCATGTTTCTAACCAATACGTTCGATGGACCCAATGTTCGGGTATCTTATCAATTTCTTTGTTCTTCAACATCTCCCACATACATGCTATTGCATGTGCACATGGTATCCCTATTAGTTCCCACCTTCTACACGAACATGTTTGTTGGCCCATATCTACCACAAACTATTCCAAAAGATTTTTACTGACTTGATATTTCCCATTCCCACAGAAAATAGACCTTAATTGTGAAGCCTCTTTCTTCAGTTTTTCAACCCATATGGTAGCTGTAGGAGTCAAGGGACCTACAGCTTTATCAATTTCCTTTTGCACAGTTACAATTTTCTTCACTAAGTACTCTCTAATGTACTCCAAACATGTAATGATTGGTACATCACGACCTTCAACAATCTTGCTATTTAGAGATTCACACATATTGTTAAGCATAGCATCTGTATGAGCTCTACCTAATAAATCATTAAAATATGTATGAGCTATTTAGAGTTTCACACATATTGCACAGCTACAAACTAATGATCTAACATTAAAATCTACCTGTAAAGTGTGAACGAGACCAATGTTGAGGAGGAATGTTTTTAAGCCACTCATACGCATCATTATTAAGTTTTCTAAGTTCCTCCATTGATCGTTGAAACTGTTGAATAGTAGATGCTTTTGCACAATCCCATAGCAAGTCTTTGAATTGCTTTGCCCTCCAATTAGCTTTCATGTTTTCATGGATATGACGAAGACAATAACGATGCTCAGCGCATGGAAACAACTTTGCTATAGCAGGTAACACTCCCTATATAATGGAAAATTGTATTAAAAGTATATCATATATAATGTATTAATTTGATATTCGAATTAATACCTTTTGTCTGTCTGTCATAAACGTAAAATTTGAGTTTGTTCCTAAACCCAAATCATCCCCTAGACAAGTTAGAAACCAAGTCCATGAGTTGGTACTCTCAGATTCCACAACAGCATAAGCCAGTGGATATGTTCCATTATTACCATCAATTCCCTACATAAGTAAAAAATTTACAATTAAAGCACCATCAATAACCTAAAATACAACTTTTTATAATATAAATGTAGTTCATATGAAAAAAGGTTACCACAGCTGAAAGTATTTGTCCTGGGTATGGACCCTTCATAAAAGCACCATCGAGACCAAGAAAGTCTCTTCTTCCAGCAGCAAATCCCTTTTTTAAAGGACCAAGACAGATGTATATGCGCTTGAAAGTTCTAGTTTCTGAATTTGGATTTGGTTCACTCTCTACATCAATCTTTACAGTCGTGTCTGGGTTATGTTTTTGAAGTTCTTGAACATAGTCTCTCAATAGAGCATACTGACCAACATAATCCCCTCGCACCTGATTGAGAGCTTCAGTTCTAGCCCTAAACACTTTCATCTTGGAAAGTCCCACTTGGTAATCACGTTGCAGTTGTTCTTGTAAAGCACGAATTGGAATAGTTGGGTTAGATTCCACCTGAGTTGTAATCTTTTTGGCAAGAAACTTATAAGTACACGCTTTAACATTCCGAGTTTGGAGACAACGATGTTCTTTGTTGTAAGACTTGACCATCCAGTTTATATCACGTTTCCATTTACTAGCGTAGAGGCTCCACGGGCACTTCTCTTCATCTTCATTGTTGACTTCTTGTTGACCTTCCCCACTTTTGTCTAAGTTTCCCAGTTTTGGTATTGTCCCCCTACACACAACTCTTACCCTATTCTTGTCATTTTTTTCAAAACCAAGTTCCCTTCTTGTCTCAATAGCATGGACTTTAACTCTTTCTTTAAACTCTTGGGCTGTATTAAAGGTTTGAAGGATATAAAATGGTTCAGCAACATTTGCTTCATCATTCTCATGAGCTCGTTGGATAGCTTTGATGGTCTTCTTTCGTTGACCAACTGGACCTTCATCCGAAGATGATCCTGACAAAAGTACCTCGTTATTTAGTACTTCATTAAGCTCTCCAACTTCATTCTCTTCTTGTACCACATTGTCATTCATACCTCCAACCCACTCTGCATCCATATCAATGTTATCATTGAAATCATTCATGTCAACTTCTACATCATCTAAGATGTTGTCATTGTCAACATAAAAGTCTATATCATCGGACTCACTGGATTTATAACCACTATCATCGTCAAAGTTGTCCCCACTTCCAAATTCTTCTTCGTTTATGTCCTCAAACATGTCCCCACTTTCAAATTCAGACCATGGATCTTCTCCACCCTTGTTACCATCCCTAAATTCAACTTCATTCGTGTGCTCAAATTTGTCCCCAATTTCAACTTCAACGCATGGATTTCCTTCTTGTTATTATCCCATTATCAGTTATGTCCATATTGTCATCTCCAGTGACGTCCATTACATTAGCCTCTTTAGAAGCATCCCCAACAACATTTGTCTCCCCAGTATCATACCAATCTAAGAAAAGCCTACAAGAACATGATGGAGGTTCAATAATTTCCTTTATTTGAACTTTTGCTTGATTTGGGGACATTGTGTACGTATGTAATTGGGTTTTTCCATGCTCAATATAGACTTCAATCAACTTATGCTTGGAAATGAAGGTACCCAGATGTCTCACATCCTGATCACTACCCAAAGCAAATAACCCGAAATCTAAATCTGAAAAAGGTCGTTTAAAGTGATAGTACAAAGGTATACCTTCATCAACATAGCCTAACTGTTCCATCATTTCATCAATGTCATGCACTGAGAAAGTATCCATGTCGAGTAAGTCTATATACGTTTGTTTTCCTTTGATGTACTTTCTTCCAGGAAATTTGGTGAACTCTCCACCATGGTATAACCTAATGGAAAAGATTGTCGGATGCCCCCATGTGAAATAGCCCACTTCAGATAAGGTTTCAACAAAATCCAAGTTATAGAAGATTGAGAGTGAGAGAATACTTACAGTAACGACGTCCAACATCGATTTCCTCCATATTTGCACGTATACGCCACAACACCATTGCGTTTTAGAGGAGAAGATATCACGATTAGGGTTTTCTTATCGGAATGTTGAAATTTTTCTGGGTTTTCTGAATGAAAAGATGGAGTACAGAGCAAAATGATCGCCTCTTCGTATACAACATGGCGGTAACACTAGAATATTAAAAAGACAAAAATACCCCTGCGTGCAAGGTGTTAACACTAGAAATTAAAAAAGATAAAAATACCCCTACGTGCCTTGCACGTGGGGTGTTTTAACGGAGCAACTAGACGGGATGTTAAGTGAGGGACCAGGAGGGTTATGAATTTTACCATTAGGGATCATCCGAGTAAAAATCTTGCTCAGGGACAGGCGCAAGGTTACCCCAAACCACAGGGACC